AAGATACTCGTGCGAAAACCGAAGGAGTGAAGGACAATACTTGGACTCTGTTGCCGTTGTCGCTGTCAATTTTGCAGGTTTGATTAATTTTGAATGAGAACACTCCACCTTGCGTTATTGTTGTTGAATTGTTCGTGTTGATGAATACTAGGGTCGAATTCAAGAAGATTAGTTGTTCGTGGCAAGTTTGGGCGATGTGGTTAATGTCCGGACCCAAGAATCAAAGCTGATTTGCCTATTGCAGTATGCTAGAAAACCCGAAAAGGATGAACACCAAGAACGAATGGCCGGAAAATGTAGCAACCCAGGAAACCCAACGATGCTGAAATTTTGCGATCTTCAATCTTTCACTTTTGATTTGTTTTCCTCCCTAACCGCTAAACCACAATCTTAAACAAACTAAAGCAAAATCCCCTTCAATTTACCCGGAAAATGAAGAACACGAATCCAAAATTGCGATGAACATAAAACCCCGCCTGGAAAATTCCCGAAAAAAAGTAGGAGCAAAAAAAAAAAAAATCTCTCGAATTTTACGTTTTCTCTGCTTTTAACTCTCTCTCAAACCCCCGACCTTTTTTTTTTCCTAATTCTTATCTCTTTTATAGGCATTACCATTCGAATTTCACTCCAACTCAAACACTTTCAAAATTCAGATTTTTACCTAACCTATTCGAACTCAAAATCCTCGTTATTGATTTCGAATTTGATTAACTAAATAATCGGGATAAATTGAATTCGAAGAAATCCAAAAACGGTTAGAGGATTAGGATAACTTTCAATCAAATTTTGGAGGAAATCGGGAGTGAAATTCGGGCTAGAGTGAACGACATGTCATTCGTTCAACTTTAGTCCTGTCATTCACTCCAAGCTTCCACTTTGGTCCTTGAAAATTTTAATTGTTTGCAATCATGCCTATTTGGCGCAATTTCAATCATGTAAAGAATTTCTTTTTCGATTTGATCCCCACAAATAGCAATTCGGGCATTGAATTTCTTTAACCGATTCAATTATGCCCTCGAAGATTTTGTATATATATATATATATATTTTCTTCTCTTTTTTTTTCAAAAATAAAATAAAATAGAAATAGAAATAAAATAAAATGAAATGAAATAAACTAGAAATAAAGAAATAAACATTTCAAAATAAAGGCTATTATTATAATAATTTTTATTATTATTTTATTATTTTTATTATTTATTTATTTTTTGTTTTATTTTGTTTTATTTTTTATTTTTTTTGGTTATGACGGTTTTACGTCACCATCGTTGGTAGGAAAGAGTTGTTTGAGATAGAAGAATCAAGTCAATAGTGGCGGTGGTTGTTGATGTAGCAAAAAAAAATGTCGATTTAGGAAGAAATGGTATCCGAGTCGGCTCAAGTAGTTGCCACTCAAGATTCCAGCCTCCTTTACCATTTTCCTTTGTTCTAACTAGTTGGAGAAGGTTGATATGAGATTAGGTTTCAAGTATGTGGTGGTTATTGGTGGTGGTTGATGATGAAGAGTGGTGTTTTTAGGAAGAAGAGGCCGACGGGTTGGGAAAACAAGTCGGTGGATTGTGGGTTAATTTAAAGAGGTTGTTTGGCTTTTTTTTTTTTTAATTTTTTTAGCGCCCACTCTAGGGTTCTCCCCACTTGTCCTCCTCCTCCTTTTTTTATTTTTTTTTTTTGGTAAAAGAGATGTATTTATAGGGATTTTTTAGGGTTTGAATTTTTTGTTTTGGTTTTTATTTTCTCTTTGATTCTACCTCAATCCTTAGTCCTTTTTTTTTATTTTTTTATTTTTTATACATCAATTACATCATTATTTTGATTTGTATTGGTCTTCACACATTTTATATTCTTCAATTTGTGCTCGAATTTTTTTTCTTTTTTTTCTTGTATTTTTGTTGCCTTTTTTAATTAAAATTAAGGGATAATTCTAAGAAATTTATAAAAAATACCTAAAAATCATGGAACAATTAAGAAACCATACAACATGTAAATTTTTTGAATTTTGTATAAAATAAAAATTTAGGGGGGTCAAAAAATGGGTTATCACAACTTGAAATACATACATACATATATATTAAAATAATCATTAAAAATAATTTTTTATTTTTTTGTAAGATTTTATGAAAAATATAAAAATAAAATTAATTATTGAAAACAAATGATTTTGAGTAAATAGTAAATAATGGAAAAATAAAAATAAAATTATAAAAAAAAAAAGAAAAAGAGAGAAAGAAAGCTGTGCTGCTGCGCCCCGGATTTGCATGATGGAGCTTATTGGCATCTAGGCCTGTGCGTTTGGATTGGACCCACTAGGACCGGCATCCTTGAGGAAAAAAGAGGCGGATGATGTGTTAACTGCGGGATTGATGCGCCGTATAACAGCAACCAAATCGAAGGTGCTGCAACTTCCAGTGCCACCGTCTGTAATTTTTGGCGACTATTTTATCGTTGGAGAATAAAAAGGCCTCTGTTTTTTACCCCACATCTAATGTTTACACCATTTTTACCTAAAAACACTCTAGAATATCCTAAAAATCATGAAACAAAAATTTTTAGTGGTTTTTTGGAAATATTTTAAATTCCGTCCTCAAATTTTTGGATTGGTGCAAAATAGTCTCATAACTTTATTTGCGTTACAGAAACCAAATTTAAAATATTAAAAAAAAACACTTAAGATTTTTTGTCAAAATAGTGTAATTTCATTTCAAAAAAACACAAAACAATATCGTTTTTAAGGTTATTGTAGTAGAGCCTTAGCTATAGTAAAAACATACATCCTTTTAATATCTTCATTAATATAGTACCAGTGTGCTGCCGTTGATAAGTCTGAAAAAGTCTATAAAATGTATTTTAATATTTTAATTAATTTTTACAAAAATTAAGTTAATAAAATAAAAATTAATCAGTTTTACGCTTCTTAATTTAACATGTATTATGTAGTATTTAATACTATGTGTGTATTTTATATTTGAGTTTGTATATCTTATGGATATGTTTGATTTTGATCAATAAAAAAAAAATGCAATTAATTATTTATTTAACAAAAAAATCTAATTAGAAGAGAAAACAATTGGAAGAAGACAAAAAACGATACTGAAAAGATGCTAAGTCAATGTATATTAAAATGATGTTAATTTAGTTAAAAAATATATAAAAAAATAAAAAAAACCGTTACATTTTTGAGAAAAAATTTTATTTTGAGCAAAAAATCAAAAAACTAAAAGCATAGAAAAAATAAGAAAAATTAAAAATTAAAAAAAGAGAGAAAGAAAGCTGGGCTAGGGAACGCGTCAGGCCCGCACAATGGGTTCGGACTAGGTGCTCACGGCCCAACCATAAAAAAAGATGACGCGCCGTTAGCAAAGACCAGCTTATCGTCGCCTTTGCAACTTCCGACAACCAAATGCCATCAGAAAGTCAGAGGTGTGGGTTTTGGTCTTCCAAACTTAATTTGCGCACCATTTTTTACCTCTAAATTAACACCTCAGAGTCGTCCCAAGAACATCTTAAAAGTTTTTAAACCTCAAAATATTTTTTAATCAACCCTAGAAAAAAAAAAAAACTCTCTCCTCAGTTCTCCCTCCTCTATTTACTTCTAGGATCATATTTAACAAAGTAAAGTTCAAGAACCATTACATACAAATTAAGGATCAAAATGAATTCATATTTGTGAAAAACCAAATACTAAAAACTAAAATGAACTAATATTTTTTAAAATCTTTTTTTTTTGAAAAGCAACGCGGTTTTGAACCATTTATTGCGACTAAATTACTATAAAAACCCATATTGTATTAATTTTTTTATAATAATATAATAATTGTGAATATAATTAGAATGTTTTTTTTATTTTTATATTACATGTATTGAGATATCTTCAGATCATCTTTTGCATCAACCGATATTATATCCATAACTTTTTAGATTAATTTAGCATTAGCATATGTTTAATTTTGATCGACTACTATGTTCTCTATTAAATAAATTAGGCCAAGTCTAATATTATTAAAGAATAATTAAAGCTAATTATTTGTGAGTAGGGAAAACTGAATTTTGACTTTGTTAAATCGAAACAACTCTCTTACTGTAAATAACATTTATATATAACTTATTTAGATGTAGATAAAAAAAAGAAATGCTTTTGATCAAAGGAGGAAGAATGACTTGGGTAGAGTTTGTGATAGAGACAATTGTAGCTTGAAAACAAGATTTTTTTAGCACCCTTAATATGTGTATTTATACTTTATATTGGTATTTTTTACAATTCACAAAATTTTATTATTCATTTTCTTTTAGTCTTCAACTATCCGATTTAAAGTACCAATTTAAATATGCCTTGCACAAAGCCCCTTCTTAAAGCCCCCGGCCCCAAACTCTTAAAAAGCCAACAGAGTGGCCTACTCGTTTGGATGCAGGAGGCTAGCTAGGGGTTTACAATCATAAACTTATTGTTCACCTAATTAAACTGATAGCTTAATGCATTATCATGAGTCCATCAGCTAGGCATTTCAAATATATGTAAATTGAGTTGCTAATCTACTCTATGGCATTAAAAAAACCAGCTTTTTTTTTTTTTTGGCGAAATGGCACAACCAAATCTGACACGTCCGCAGATGGATGAAGGTTTGTATACATGCTTGGTGGAGAAGGAGACATTTCTCTCAAAACAAAAACTCACTCCCTCGAGTTAATTCCATTAAGTATACCAATTAATTTAAACTGTATCCAATAACACAATATTTCTCTAGCATTAACATGAACAATAATACTCAAACTTGCAGCAATAGCTCGATCGAATGCACTCCATTATACATAATACGCATGCTTGTTATAAGTTTTGGGAAAGTGCAATCACATATATTGATAGATATATGAAGACTTGTAACAAGATACGTAGAAAATGTACATTGAAAAGTACAAACTATATAGCAAACCCATGCGATCATTGAAATGCTTCTTGCAATCTAGCTAGTTCGCAAAGATATGAAGTTCCATTCAAACAAAGTAGCCTTAAACACCACAGTAGGCTTTTATGGTAGACTCTTTTCCCCTACCCTCTTCCGTGAAGAAGTAACGCAATAATCCAAAACTTTCGAAAGGCTTGAAGCGCAGTGGATTCTCTTCATCAATTAGCTCTTCAGGAACTTTGATTATACCTTTAACGAAAGAAAATAACCCAACAGAGTATCTTGGTTCGCTTCCGCTCATGACCACCCGATGGAATGCAGCCGGTATTCTCTCATTACTCCATCCCTAGCCGAGCAAAACAAGACCGTCAGATGTTAATGTATTTAGCATTTAGAACTTCCACTTGCTGATCTAAAAGTTTAAGACATTAGAGTGTGTGCATAGTTTAAGTTATTTGAATCTAGCCAGTCACGGCATAGGATTTTGCATAGGAAAACAGAAGAAGGCATGCAATAAAGATATTAAAAACTAGTGGTAGTTTCTTTCGTAGGATATGGGTGCTAGAAGGGATTGACCTACCAAGAAAGCTTCTCCTGCCATTACTACGAAGGATGAAGGTGAGGGCTTATAGGCCATCCATTGACCATCCTTTGATTTCACCTCCAACCCACTAACTTGATTTTGGTGAAGCACAGTTATAAAGCCTTTGTCTGTATGGATGTTACAGCCAACATCAGATTCATTTTTCTCAGGTCCTCTATATTTCATCATCCGAAAAAAATAAGTAGTCGATTCTTTGTGAGAATCATGATGCTGATCTACTCCATAGCTCTCAAACACCATTCTCACTACCATTTGCTCTAGTTCTGATACTAACTTGGAGTATAACAACGCAGTTTTACTAACCAAGAAAAACAAAGAAAAAGCACGTCAGTCAAAACCAAAAGAGCATAGAGGTTTCCGAATTCAAAAGAAGTACGATATTAGTAGCTTGTACCAAAAATGATCATTTCCACCAGGCCACATAGTATGTGAAAAATCTTCAGTTCCTTCAAGGGTTGTGGCATTAGTAATGCCCATGCCTTCATAGAGAGATGGGACAAAAGGTTGATTGCCAACATAGCCACAGTAAGGTAAGTCAGAAACATTTTTCCTCTTGATTTCTAGGGGAAGATCGAACAAATCCTCTAATGTACTAAAGAGATCATTATGCAGCTTGAGAGGAACTTTGTCATATACTGCCACAAAGCAGCCATATTCCTCAAGTGCATGCATGACATCTTTGCATGTGGAGAGCCATGAATTTGTTCCAGGCTTCAAATTTTCCTTGGAAAAATCTATGATAGGAAGCTCGGGGAATGCTAGGGAACCCATAGTTAATTTTAAGGTTAACTTCCTGCTTTAGAATTAGTGACACAAATATCAATATTGCCTCACATGTATTTATAAAGTCCCTTAATGATCGGTGTCATAATCAGATAAGCGGAGATATTGCAACAAGCCTTATTTAATTTTTTTTTGGGTGAAAATTGAGATTATATTAAGGAAAAAAAAAAAAAAACAACTGATGGCTGACAAATTACAAAGTGTTACAAACAAGAGAAGCACCAGAATAAGAGTTGAACTAGTGTTTTGACCAATATAAGGTCATTGTGTATATAAAACTATTTTTTGGCTAAAGAATCAGCCATTGCATTATCTTCCTGAAGAATATGATGGAAGGAGATAGGACACGGCAACAAGATAAATTGATAAATCCAAAGACTTTGGCATTATTTTTCATAGAGTTTTATGAAGTAGAATATTCTGAACAGTGACAACTAACTGGTGACTGCTACTGGATGAATTAGTACTATTGCTACCAAATATTTAATATCTTTGGACAATAATGCTTCTGTTGCGATGTGGCTCACAGGTGAAGGGTCCATATCCGGCTCCCGCATTTATAGAAGTGCAAGATCAAATCAATTTCCCTTCTCTATCCTAGGATCCATCTGGATGTTTTGAAATTTAACTTCTGAATGTTATTCATGAAATTAAAAGTTCTTTAGTTTTGTTTATGTTCTTTTTTTTTAGAAGTTGATAGTTACTAGTATTTTGTAGAGTGACATAGAATATCTTCCCTTCTTGTTTGACATTATGGCTTGTGATTGAAGCAGCATTTATCAGTTTATTGGATATTCATGAAATTAAAAGTTCTTTAGTTTTGTTTATATTCTTTTTTTTTAGAAGTTGATAATTACTATTGTTTTGTTGTGTGACATAGAATACCTTCCCTTCTTGTTTGACATTATGGCTTGTGATTGAAGCAGCATTTATCAGTTTATTGGATATTCGAATCCTATGGACAGTAATATTCATGGAAAACAAACTAAGTTCATGTATGTTGTCATTGTAGGTGAAACTACCTAAGCCTAATTAAGTTTTACTTTGTCCAAATATGTAAAAAATTAGGAGTATCCATAGTTTAAATAGAAAGAAAGAAGAAAAAGTCGACTGATCCCTTAATTAGCAGGTGAAATGCAACTGTCAAGTTGCTGTCATTGTACTAGCTAGATAGCTAGCTAGCGTCCTCATTTCAATTTGTTCTTTCTACATAATCGGCAATACCCTAATGATGCATCTGGCCTATTACTCATTCCAATTTGTCCTTGATGGTTTAAGAGAAAGCATAAATACAATAAAACCTTGGCTTATTATAGAAACATACATGCATATAAAAGATTTGAAGGTATATTTGGAGAACTTGTTAAAAAGATTCTCTGTTTGTTATCTTTAGGTTAAAAAAAAAAAAAAATTTGGTAAGCAAGCCTTGAATTGTAGATCGGGTCTAGAATTCGATTTTTGTGGTTAGCACTCCCGAGAATTTATTAATACTCGAAGCCGTGCGTTGGATAGTGCCCTTTAGTTATGCCTAGAGAGGGATTAATTTTGAGGTGCACGAAAGCTAATCCGAGACGCCCTTGCTGCTGAAAAAAAAGTCGATAGCCTTTTTTCTTTGGTACCGTTAGTAATTTATTTTGATATATGTGAGATTCTTACACGAAACTTCTACATCAAAATGTAAAGGATTAACGTAAAAATCCTTCAACTATGTCTAGACCGATAAGATCACAAACTATGAGGAGAAAGTATTCAAAATTCTATCTAGCTTAAACCGAATAGTATGAAGATACATATGCTAGATAGAGTAGCTACAGGGCAATCCAACATTTACATCAAGAGAATAAAACCGTTTATGTCTCTATAAAGCTTTTTTGAACCAATCAAACAATGAAATATTATTAAGTTCCTCACCCATCTTCTAGGACTCTTGGTTTCGAATGATAACCATTTCGCAACATTCAAAGGAAAATGTTTGCCAAACGAAAGGTAAACACTTGGAATTTCAAGAAGCACATTGTTGTTATCATATCTATAATAATGATTCTAATCCAATTCATTAAGTTATACTCATTTCCTTAATTGTAGTAATTGTCGCCATTCTTGCATTGAATAGGTTATCTCCTTTTTTTTTTTTTTTTGGTATATCCACTTGGAAAAATGTTGTTCATTGTCAAAATATTTTAGTTTTCATTCACTTAAAAACATTTTAAATTTGGATTAAGATGACTTGATTACCAATCTTCTTGATGAGGTGGTGGAAGTTAGAAGATGGCGTGGCTTTTTTTTTTTTACTAGCATACCTATAAAGTTTGATGATGAATGGATATCAAAATAGTTGAAAAACTTGCAAAACAAATTCCTCTAATAAGAAGTTAGCAATTCCTCGTAGGACTACATAGGCATCTTGGAGCCTTCTAGTTAATGAGCACTTTAGTAAGGTGTCTATATAGAGATTAAGCTGTTTTTAATAGGCGTTTATGTTAAGGATACCTTGCGGTTATTTCGACCGGGACGACGGGATTAGCAAGCGATCAACCGGGGCTAGACGGGGGAGTAGAAATAACCGTTCCTTATGTGTATGTTTGCTTATAATCATAGTTTCTCTCTTCTCAAATTTGTAATGGAGGTTCTTCGACACTATAATTTGTGAGTGCATCGACGTTACCTAAATGGATAGGCTATTATTGCTACTTTTGAGAAATTCTTCAAATAGTTTGAAGTCATCCCCACACGTAGGCTTTTCGAGAATTGTTCTCTCCTAGTCGAGAGTTCTAAAAGGAAGAAAGAAATGGCATTCTTCTATATCTTTTCGACTAAGAAGTAGAGTCCACTAAGGTGGAGTTGAGGAGGTGTAGGGATGTGTTCCCTTTTGAAAGAACCTCGGGATGGCTACAACACTATCCCTTTATAGTTTCATACTAATCCAAACTTTTGAGATCAAGTAGAGAACAAAGGCGAGAAAATATCGGATCAATCTTCTAACTAAGGAGTTATCATAGGTTCGTAGTTTTAAGCGTAGATAGGCCAACCCAATTCATGTTCTTATTATGAAATTGAAACTTTTCCCTAGCTAAACTAAACTATGTTATGGTTTTTATAGTTAATGGGGCACCTAAGGAAAAAGTTCATTTGGATGAGTTTGATAGAAAATTTGAAGAAGAGGGTGCTAAGTCGACAGAACAAAACTTGTCCTTCCGAGCCACCTTAAGAGAAAACTAGGAGGAAGGGGCTAGAGTCCTACTCGAGAGATGACTCCCGACCACTACCGAGAGTGAAGACTCAAATGGGTCTTTTCAATCACATTCTCTATTCTCAATACCTCGTGTGTATACTTTTGAGGATATCCGAGTTAGAAAGGGAGGAAATGGGCCTCATTGGTGTTAGAGCTTGCTTGCTCAACGAAGGAGAATTGACTATGTCGCTTCATTGTAGAGAATTTACCAAGGCAACATCCAAACCTTCGACTTATATCTTAGCCTACCACATGCCATGTGGTGACTTCTATCGCACTACTAGATTTTGGAGTTTCCACCTTAACTAGAAAAGCTTCATGGCTATCCTATATTTAGGGATTTTTGCTAGTATGCCACGAACTAGCTTCGCTCCTGTCTCATCCCCTCTCTTATTAGTGAAACGAGTTCTATATAAAGAAGGAGATCTTTGAAGATACCGCCATCTTATGAGGTAAAAATGGGGAAAGAGTGAAAGACCGCTTATCTATTTACTACCTCCATTTTTTTTTAGAGATATGGAGCCTTGGGCAAACAACTCTTTATCTTGGTATTTGAGGAAATTCGTCCGGTGACCACTTGTTGTATTTTTTCTCCTCTTTTTTAGTTTTAACTTACTTGTCAACTGCTAATCTGATTTTTTTTTTGTTGGCTTTCTAGATGTAGGTTTAAAACCTTAATAAGTGGAAAACTAAAAAAGGATATATTCGGATCTATTGAGGCATATCATAAGCTCCGGGTAGCTTTTCATACAAAAGACATAAAGTCGTAATTATTTCACGTTATGGCAGAAGGAAAGTTAAAGAAAATAAAGGTTTTCTTAGTTAGCTAAGGTCCTAAAAGTTAAGAAAATTGATGTTGCTTTGGAGCAACCAGCCATAGGTAGAAAAAACACCAAATTCCTTTATGGTATTGGAGCAAGTCTGCTCTTCGAGAGCGACAATAGGTAGAGAGAGCTCTATAATGCCTATACGAATTCAAAACATGTAAAAAAAAATTTCTTAATTTTTCACTAATGATTTTGAAAAACTTAAATTGTAATGAATGACTATGTGGCTCTTTATGGCTGATGGTTAATGTTGGAGATTGGTGGTTCGTAGTGGTCCTTTCTACTTAAGTTACTTGCACGATAAGTTTTTTTAGTGAATTGAGGAATTCTTTAATGATTAAATTAGTAATTAGAGAGAGAAAATGCCTAAATAGGCTTTGCGTATAACTCGTGTATGTGTGTAAGAAATGATGAATAGTAGTATGTAGCGGGAAAAGTAGGATTAGGAACTTCACACTCTTAGTACTTCGGGTTCTTATATAGGTGAGGCTTCGTTAAGTTTCATTGTTGAAGGGGTGGAATGGTAGATTCCTTAATTGTTGATAATCTCGACATCCAATTAGGAGACCTATGTCTTTAATATGATCTTTTCAAATAGGGCCAATATTGTCGTGGTTGGTGTCAATTGGACAAGCGTAGTCTTGAAAGGGTATTTTCATAAAAAAAACATGTGCTTTTTGTTGTAACAATGGGTGAAGAGTGTCCTTTTTGTTCGGAATAGATGTCTAGGGCAAAGAGGATTGTGGCGTCTCGTTGAAGCACTAGCAAGTTCTTTATTAGTTGTTGGATTCTATTGAAAATCCTACCCTTAAGTATTTCTCTTGAGTTTGGTCACGTTTAGAATGTCTAAATGACATATATCGTCTAGACTCATTACTTGAAATATTGGTTTGATTAATAGATAAAATGAAATCCCAATTTAAAGCTAA